CACACTTGACTCTACCACACTTGACTCTACGACACTTGACTCTACGACACTTGACTTTACCACACTTGACTCTACGACACTCTCTTTAGACTCTCTATAGACTCTCTATAGCCGACACTCATGGCCCCAAAACTCATGGCTAATGATGCTTTCGGGCCACTCGTCTTCTAGTTTTTTTTGGGGGGGGGGTAGAATGGGCACCGCAACCCTATTTTGAATGTTACGGGCCCTGTATTATAGCCGAAATAGTGGTGAACCGTGCAGTTTTGGGTTTGGGGTAAAAGGTTTCGGGTTTTGGGGGTTCAAGGTTTGGGGAAAGGGGTTTAGAGCAGTTCTTGGGTTGCAATGAATGCTGCCCTAAAGCCCGATCCAATTACCTCATTATTACTGAGCACGCAGGGGCAGCAATGGTGCGCTACACCCTGGTTGTAAAGTTTTCCGAGGGCATTCTATAGTGGTTGTCTATGACGGAACGACGCGTTTTATTTTTGGACGTTCTGTAGGGGCTCGAAGGGAAGTAGCAGGGTTCTCGAAGGGCGCTATACTAGGTGTACGGGTGCTTGATATGATTATATTCTTGAAGAGTTTAGGGGTTCAGGATTTAGTTTAATTAGGGTTTAGGGTTCAGGGTTTTGGGTTTGGGGTTGAGGGTTTTGGGGATTTAGGGTTGAGGGCTTAAGAATTACCGGTACCTATCCAAAGGGCTCCTCATCGCAATTAGAGCACAGTGCACCCCAGATCCTAAACCCTAAACCCCAAATCATGTTCAGCTTGTTATTGCCGGCTTTAGTCCCATATGGGACTTTCCGAAATTGGGGGTACCTTATTTTGGGGCCCTTATAGTAAGGAACCTTGTGTTTTTGGTACTATATTAGGGTCCCCTATTTTTGGAAGCCCCCATATGGGTGTATACTTAAAGGGCTTGGCGTACGGCCCATATTTTCGGTTCGGAGGGAGCACTCTAGGGTTTAGCGTTTAGGGTTTAGGGTTTAGGGGGATTCAGCCACATGATGGATGGGTTGGGCTCGTGTGGTTTTGGGCTGTTTTAGGGTTTAGGCTTTGGGTTTGCGCGAAGCCAAGGCATCCCCCAGCATTTTCAGTGCTCCCAACCCGAGACCTGTATTTTCCAACCCCTATGTGAGAGTTTCCGCAAATAAGGGGGTCCTTTTGGGGTCCTTATAATAAGGATCTTATTATTTGGGGTACTAGATTAAAACCCTAAACCCTAAACCCTAAACCCTAAACCCTAAACCCTGAACCCTGAACCCTAAACCCTAAACCCTAAACCCGGGTCCCGGGTCCCTACTATTGTCGGAAAACCCCATATTGGAGGCAGCACGAAAGAACGCCCGGAACCGAAAATCGCAGCTCTCAGCGCGGCTACGGGGATTCATGGTTTGTTGGCTAAGTTCAGATTACCAGGTTCAGGGTTCAGGGTTTAGGGTTTAGGGTTCAGGGTTCAGGGTTATGGTTCAGGGTTCAGGGTTTAGGGTTTAGGGTTTAGGGTTCAGGGTTCAGGGTTCAAGGTTCAGGGTTATGGTTTAGGGTTTAGGGTTCAGGGTTTAGGGGTCAGGGTTCAGGGTTTGGGTTTAGGGTTCAGGGTTTAGGGTTTAGGGTTCAGGGTTCAGGGTTTTGGGATGTAAGGTCTGCTTTTCAGGGATGTGGCCGCCTCCAGATTGCCCAAATCAGGCTTCCTTCAGGCACATGCATGCTGGCTTCTCGTAGCATACCCTAAACCCTCAACCCCCTAAACCCTGAATCCCTAAAACCTAAATTAATCCTCAAACTGTCAACCCTAAACTCCAAGCCAGAAAAGAGGCCTTGAACGAGGGACTAGAATGTGTCACATGAATAAAGCCATACAAACTTCATGCAATTATAGTGTATACAATACCCACACACACACATATATATATATATATATACACATTTATTTATTTACATATTTCCAACATGTCGATCCGGAGACCCCTCTAGCCCAGGGCTTCGGGCACTACCTCACCTCTCGCTGGGTGAACACCGAGGTTGAGTATGAGAAGCACGGCTTACGGTTTGGGGTTTAGGATCGAGGGCCTGGGGTTTGAGGTTTGGGGCTTAGGGTTTTAACAGATTGAGTATTGGGGTTTCGGGTTTAGGAGGGTTTAGGGGCAAGGTCTATGGTTGTTTACGGCTTGAGGTTCGGGGGGGGGGGGTGTTGGGTGTCGGGGTATGCCTTGACAATTCAGCTTGGTATGGGTGTTGCTGAGGCCAACGGACTTGTACTGAAGCTGCCAGGGTTGAACTGTCAGCCTTCTTCGACGCATGTTGTGTGTTGCCGGTTTTCGCCAAACCCTAAACCCTACAGGCACAAGAATTCGAACAGGAGATTCAGAACCTCCGCACCTCGACAGCCGAACCTCCGAGCCTTTAAACCCGAACCGGAATCACTCCCCCCCCCCACCCCCCGCCTCCCGGTGGGTTTAGGATTTTGGGTCCCTAAACCCTGAACCCTAAAAAAACCTTAAACCCTAAAAACTAAACGCAAGCATCAACCACAACCTCCCAACCTGCAAGCTCCGAACCCGAAAACCCGAGCTTATCCCAGTAACAGAACGATGATTTAGGGGCCTTCATACCCTAACCCCGCAGTTACCTACTATATAGGGTACTAGAGCCCCTAAGGCCCTATATAATAGGTAACTGGGGGGTTGGGGATAATTAGACTAGGGTTTTGGGGTTCCTTTCAAAATTTCCTGAAACGGTTCTATAAGGGTTTAGGGTTTAGGGGCCTTAATAATTAGAAATATTAGAATAGGGTTTGGGGGGCCGTTATACTCGAGTTATCATAAGGAACCCCCAAAATAGTATAGGTAATTATTTCAGCCCCTACATTAGTCGAACCCGACTCAGAACCCCAAGACAGCCCTTCGAACCTCGCTAGTTTCGGGATCGTTGGTCTTGGGGTATAGGGTACATAATGTAGGGGCCTATATTTCCCGAAAGCATCGCGAAGGGTTCTTCCGTGCGAAGCCCTTCAGAGAAGTACATAGGATGAAGTACATAGTTCCAAGTGCATAGCTCCAAGTGTTTATCTACATAGACTTGTCTACATCTTGGTATACTTACATCTCGGTATATCTAGCTCCAAGTATCTCTAGCTCCAAGTCTCCAAGTATATCTAGCTCCAAGTATATCTAGTTCCAAGTGCATAGTACCTAGACTTCTTGACATAGACGTTTATCTACATAGATTTATCTACATAGACTTATCTACATTGACTTATCTCCATATAGAGCTATCTACATAGACTTATCTATACATAGCCTATTATCTCTACTTACATCTCGGTATTTCTTTCTATCTTTCTAAAGCCGGGGCAGGGTCGACCGACCCTATATCGGGAATGAACCCTTACCATGGATTCGCGTGGTCGAGTGCACGAACGCGAGGTAAAGTTGCGGTTCCCCGACCTCCTTTGCAACCCTTACGACTGGGGGGCGTGGTCATTTTCGCGAAAGTGCACGAACGCGAGGTAAATCCGATTCCTCGCAACTCTTCCCGAGGGAACCCGTGGTCGACTTCACGAACGCGAGGTAAAGCGCACGATGTAGAAGACGCGAAGTAACCCTTACGATGGATTCGCGTGGTCAAGAAGCGAAACGCGAGGTAAAGTTGCACTTTTGAAACAGGCGCCGCGCCACGCGGTTCCCGTGCGACCCTCTGCGGGACTTTGCGCGGGAACCGCAAAACGCGAGGCAAACGGGATGCCACGGGGCGCCATTCGCAACCCTTTGCGGGGATTCGCGTTTTCCAGGGTAGCGAAAAGCAACCCTCACCGTGCCTTTGCGTGGTCGAATGGGTTCCCGCGTGACCCTTTGCGGGGATTGTGGTCGAGTGCAGGAACGCGAGGTGAACGCGAGGTAAAGTTGCAACTTCTAGGGCGCCGCGCGCGACCCTTTGCGGGGATTGGCGTACGTCGCTAGGGTTCCCGCGTAACCATTTGCGGGGATTGGCGTGGTCGAGTGCAGCAACGCGAGGTAAAGTTGTTACTTTCTTGGGTTCCCGCGCAACCTAGTACGTCTGGACGGAGCCATCGAGAGAAGTACATAGATCGAGTGAAGTGACGATACACATAGCATGGAGATACACGTAGAGTCAACAGAGTCAAGTACATCGAGTCAAGTGCATTGGGCGATAAACACGGATTGATGTTGAAACTCTATGACTCTATGACTATTTCACTGTGTCACTTTCTATGACTCTCATGCTTCACTCTAGGACTCTATGCTTCACTCTAGGACTTTATGTGCCTGACTCTATCCCTCTAGGATTCTTTGCTTGGCTTTAGGACTTGACGCACCTGACTCTAGGTTGACTGCTATGTCACTGCTCTGACTGATCGTAGACTGCCTGACTCTACAGATAGATCATGCGGTAGCACGTCGCTTCCCTCCATGTCTCACAGCTCATATATGTACGGAAGCCAAACGCACGCCGTACATCATACAATAACATTGCACTAGGCATCTATGCACCCGACTTTATGACTCCATGACTCTATGCACTAGCTTCTATGTACTCAGGCTGTGCACTTCACTATGACTTTATGTACTTAACTCTGTGACTCTACATAACGCCGAACTCTTCGCCAATGATGCTTTCGGGCCACCCGTCTTCTAGTTTTTGTTGGGGGGTCCTCATTATAGTTCTTATAGTATAATATACCCAAAACCTTATTCTAATTATTGAGGCCCCTATATTACGTACGCCCAGTTACCCTTCCAACTTGAAGTTCCTCTTCCCTCTGGCCGTGATCGCCGGCGCTGTCTTACCAGCCACTCGCACAGATGTGTCCTCTGCCAAAAGTTCCGTCAAGGGAAGTTTCACGCCAACTTGGTGTAGATTCTACGACCACTCCCGTTTCGATCCATCCAGCAGTACTATAGGGGTCGGAAGAGTCAGCAAATTGTTCGCTGAGTTGCCCGTGGTTTTTCCGGGGGGGCCGAAGGGTGAGATGTAACCTGTAATGGGGGGAAACCTGGAACCTGTTATCCCAGATTCCTGAGCAACTCATTTGCAGACTTTCTCGAAAATTTCGGGAGAGGGCTTCTGCTTTACCGTGAACAATCTATGCCCAAACATGTGTGTGTTTCATTAGGATCCGGGGAAGTTGCAACTCCCAAAACCCTAAACCCGAACACACCAAGCAACTTACACCCCCAGAGTGTCATGCTACGTCTGTGGGTCCGAAGTTTGGCTTCTTTTTATGGAAGCCTAAAGAATTACCAATAGTTTTCCTTAGGGCTCCTTGTTATTATAAGTCTACTATAAAGGGGCCCAAAACCTTATCTTAATTCATTACCTTAAGAACCAAAAACCTACTTTTTTGTAGGTTCTTATTATAAACCCTAATATGGGATTTTATAGGGACCCTACAAAAAGTAGGTTTTGGGTTCTTAAGGTAGGCCCTAAACCTTAAACCCGAAACCCACAGCCAGCGTTTGGATTCTGGGCCTGAGGGTTAGGAATTGCGATCCAAGGCTCCGGGTTTAGGGTGTACTCAGAGATCCCAAGATCCGTTGATTAGGGAACATGCCTAGTTTTTTGGGTTTAGGGGTTTTGGGTTCAGAGATAGGGGAGCCTTAACATTACGATTTAAGATCGATTCCTCAATTAAGGGGTGTTGGGATCTCCGGGCATTGCAGGCTGTAGTATTCGGATAGTTCTCTAAAATCAGGGCTTTCTTCCGGTCCTTTTTTATAAGGGTGCCGCACCATTTTGGGGTACCTACAAAGCGGACCCTACTCTAGAGAACTACCCATTGAGGAGGTTTAAGATTCCGGGCCCTAAACACTAAAACCTCAACCGTGCGGGGGTTTGGGATCCCGAAGCCTTGCCAGGTGATATAGGTTCCGTCTGCACACTTGAGACATATAGCATTTTTTCCATGAAGAAGGAGTATATGATCAAACCCTGAACCCAAAACCCTGCTAAACCCTGAACTCTAAACCGTAAACCCCAAACCGAAACCCGCTGAGCCTAATAAGGAGTATGATCGGGAGCCTTTGGTGGACCTCAAAAAGAACTTGCTGGGCTACAAAGCTCTGAACCGGGGATGTGCTTGAAGGGCAGGATAACAAAGGTCTGTTCTCTTTGTAGGCAACAATGCTCTTCCCTGCCGCGATTGTTGCTTACCCGGAAATCATTATTGTGGCTGTCGTCTCAGGCCGGCAGGGGGGCTTTCCAGGTTGGTGGCTTCAGGATAGGTGCTTTTAAGATTTATGTGCCGTCCGAAGAATGTTCATGTCTTTTACCATGATGGGCTAAGGCGCCAAAGACTTTTTTGACTAGTCGCAATACTGGTTTATGTGGGCCGGCAGCCAAACTCCAATTCACGGAAACCTGATGTGAAGCCCTGAGCGTGTTTTGGGGTCGTGTGCAGATGCCGTTTAGGGTTTGGGAGCTCTTGGCCAACGGCCAATGTGTACTGCGAAGTTTTTTTTCACAGGAGTTTGACAGGAGAAAAAATCCACAACCAAGGGACAAGCGAATCCATTGGGGGTTCCTTAAACGTAGGCAACTAGAGCCACTGCCCTAAACCCTGAACCGGTTGCGGGAAATTTCATCGCAAAATACGTCGGGCTTCCTTTGAATCGAGAAAGAGTCTCAGACCGAAGCCCTAAAGCGAAAGATTTATCTTCAGGGGTTTAAATTTAGGTTTAGGGTGGCTTAGGGGTTAAATTTAGGGTTCAGGGACTTAACTTAAACTTAGGGTTTAGGGATTGAAATTTAGGGTTTAGGGTTGAATCTGGGCTGTAACCCTAAACCCTAAACCGTTTGGGCTCTACCCTTCACCCTGAATCTCAACGATCACCCGGAAGCCTTAGTGGGGTTTAGGGTTTAGGGTTTAGGGTTTAGGGTAAGCCGGAAGCCTCAATTGGGCCTCGTCGGCCTTTCGTTCCCAGCCTTTGAAAGCTGTGGGGTCAATGTGGGTGGTTGTCAAAATTATGGTCCCTTTTTGCGTCCTTATTATAATACGGCACCGATTATTTAGGG